ACAATTACATTTTGATTTTCAGTATTTAGAAATGATGGAATTAGATATAGGAGATGCCACCCAAGTTTACATAGCATTCTTGGTTTACCTGGACCTCATGGAGAGTAAGTTTTTTGTTTATATTGTTTTGTTATTGGGACTGTGGTTGGGGTAGGGGTGCTGGGTTGGGATATAGCATTGTTGACATTATAATAATCATCTATGCATTTACTATTAATTTTGTCAATTAAATTTTGTAACTTCTTCATTTATTTACATTGGAAATTACTGGGTAACAGAAAATACGAGAAAAGTGAAGAGAGTAGGTAGTTTTATGAGTAATGTTTGCTTAGCTGAGTATTAGGTAGAAGTTTGGAATTTTTGTCTTTTGTTTTCCATAAACAGTATTGTCCACTCAATGATGCTCTTCCAGGTAAAAGTTGGCATGAAGTGAACTGCGTGGGATTGCCAGAACTCCAGCTCATCTGCCTTGTGGGTACCGAGATAGAAGGGGAAGGGTTACAGACCGTGCTGCCTACGCCCATCACTGCTTCCCTCAGCCATAACAAGTGAGCAGGGCATTTTGGTCTTTGGGTAGCAGATTAGTTCTTTTCCTGAGTATTGCACTAAGAATCTTTAAATTAAAGATATTAATATAACATTTTTAAAGGAATTTAGGATACAGGGATCATAGCTTTACTTTGATTATTTGAGGAATAATTTAAATATGGGTGTTTAACAAGTATTTATTTAGCACTTACTCTATGGTCAGTACCTTTTCAGAGAAAGTTTATCTGATAGAAATACTAGCCTTATGGACATAGGAAACATTTGTATTCTTGGTAAGGAAGCAAGACCATTACATTTGAAACAACAGATATTATAATGTAATGCATGTAATGCAAATCATATTTGTTAAGGGAGTTGGTAAAGAACATGATTAATATGCAAGTTGAAATCAAAGAAAGCTTCCTGCAGCTTGTGGGAGTTTTTTTTAAAAAAAAAAATCTTAGTTGCACAGAATTGGATTAAACATTTTTGTTTCATGACATACTCTCATATTAGTTTATGCCTGGCTTGTACTTATTTACTTAATTAGTTAGTTTTAATAATGTAATAAGTATCTCCCAACCCACCACCCATACTGAAACAAAACTAGTTTCGTAACAGTAACTGACATCTAATCTTGTGGGTCCCTTCCTTTCTCCGCTCCCACTGATCTGAGATAACTGTCATCCTGAATTCCATATTCATTGGGAAAATTTTTTTTAAATGTTTTTAACTTTATAAGAAGTATGTAATCTTTTGAGGCTCATCTTATACACTTAATATTACATTGCTAAAATTCACCCATTATGCATTTTTTGGACTGCCGTATAATATTCCCTTTTGTGATTGTACCATTGTTTTCACTTGCACTCTCCTGATGATAGAGTGTTGCTAATGTTCAACTTTAGGAGATAATTTCAGACTATTTCCAAAGTGGTTACCTCAGTTTACTTTCTACCAACAATGTAAATACAATCTTTTGGAGCTGTATTGTCATTGTGTCGAGCGTTTAGTATTATTGGACTTTTTGAATTTTTGCCAGTTGAATGGATTAATCTTATTGTGGTCTTAATTTGCATTTATTTCTCTGATCCCTAATAACATTTCTTTATATATTTATTAGTTCCTATCTTAAGAAATGCCTATTCATATCCTTTGCCTATTGAATTATTTGTATTTTTCTCGTTGACTCATATGAGTTCTTTATATATTCTTGACAATAATGCTTTGTTGTTTTCCAGTTTTTAAGTCTGCCTTTCACTGTCTTTAAAGTATCTTTTAATGTATAACATTTCTTAATTTAAATATAATCATATTATCCATCTTTTATAGTCAGCATCTTTTTGTGTAGCTTAAGAAATATTTCCTATCTAAAGGTCTACAAAATATTCACCTATATTTTCACAAAGAATTCTAAAAAGGATTTCTTGTTTGTTTTTAATGGTGTGAGCAGAAGTTAGGGAATCCTGTTTTCATGTGGATAATCACTTTTTCAATCTCCTTTTACTGAATAGACCCTCCTTTCCTCATCATCCGACATCACTTCTGTCATTTTTCCAAAGTTCCATACATGCATTGATTTGTGTTTGGGTTCTCTATTGTATTCCATTAATCAGTTTATCTGTCTTTGTGTCAATACCACATCTTCTCAATCTCTTGCTTCATAAGAAGTACTGGCATCTGGTTAGCAGTCCTCCCTCCTTGCTTTTGTTCTTTAGAGGCTGTGGCAGGCAGTTACTAAGATGGGATCTTATAATCCAGCCTTCTGCTATTCACGCCCTTGTGTAATTAATTCTCCTCCCTTGAGTGTAGCTTGGACCCAGTGACTTGCTTCTAATGAATAAAATTTGGCAAAAGTGATGAGATGTCACTTCCAAGATTAGGTTATAAAAGACTGTGGTCTCTACCTTGGGCACTCTCTCATACTCACTTGCTGTGAGGAAAACTGAGATGTGAGCTGTTCTACAGAAAGGCTGAAATATGAAATAGAGAAGAGAAGGTAATTATCGATGGGGAAGATTCTTGAGAGATGAGGAGAGATGGATTCAAGAGTGTAGTTAAAGAGAGTAATACTGAATTTGAAGAGGGGGACCTTAACCTCTGAGAGTGGGGTGTAGGAAGAAAGGGCAAATGAAAATGTAGCTATCTTGGGGTGGGTGTATAGGTGGGGAAAGGGGCAGAGCACCATCATGAAGAGCTATGGTGAATACCTATTTTTTTTCTAGTTCACTATGACCGAATATATGGTAATGTAGTAGAAAGAGCACTAGACTGAAGTCTTCAGACCTAGATTCTAGTCTTGGTACTGACACTTAAAATTTTTCTGATGCTTGGCAACACACCTTATTTCTCTGGATTTTGGTTTCCTTGTCTTTTATTGAGGGATTTAGATTACCAGAACATGATATGCAAGATCCCTTCCAAATCAAAGCTATTGTAATTGGTTATTTCCATTGTGCATATTTCACAAAACTGTATTAAACCAATTTGCAGATTTCTATGAAGTATTTTTTATATATGTGATTCATAATGAGAATTGTGTTTTGATGTATCAGGCAATTTATATGCTTCTTTGAGAGGCTCCTTAGGGTGAGTTTTTTCTGTGTTTGAGAATCACAAATAGTTGATAGAGTTGACATCAGATTTGATCACTAGTACTTTCTAGGTTTTACAAGCATGATTGCCGAGCCTTCCTACATCTGAAAGACTTAATTCATTCCTCAAAACTCATTCTTTATGTCTTTTAATTACTGTAGCAAATATTGTCCTAGCTAGTATAATTGTTATATTATTTGTTTGGACAAGGAGCTACTATTTGGAATTAACCTGAATTTAATGCTAAAAAATAAAATTAATGAAATGAAACCAAAAGTCTATTTTAATCAAAATCATTTCATAAGTCTAGAAGTACAAATTTGTGCCCATTTTTAATTTCTAATATTTTCCAACTGGTAATTAATGCTTTTCTAGTTTTAATAGCTTAAGCTTATTTTCTTTGGTAAGCCATTTTTATGATCTTGCATTTAATGATTCAGAGTACTTAAATCTTTATGTCATATATATAAATATTCACAATTATATTATGCAGTGGAATAATAATATAGAATATAGCACAAATGAGGCCCTTACACTCTAGATTTATTATGCCTTTTAGG